CAGGTGGACCCGATCGGACCCTCCATTCTCGTCTATGGAGGGGCGGCTGTAAATGGACATATGCCTATTTATACCCGCCGACATAAAATCCGACCCGCAAAAAAGGGACAGATGGGGATCCAATTCCCATTCCATCTATTCGATCGGGTCGGATGGAAACTGACAGGCAGTCTGTTTTCATCTGACCACCCATTGCGGAGAGCGAGCTACTCTGTGTCTGCTCTGCAGCAGCGGAATAGACATAGACCTGTCATCCGCTTGTTCAGTTGGGATCAGTGGAGAGATTCCCCGCTGTGCAAGCAGATCCACTAAAGGACAGCGCTAAAAGTAGTGATAATAAGACAGATATAAGTCCACTGAAAGTCTTGGTCATATGGACGTGTCCAGTGACAAATGAGGATTCAGAATTGGTGATCCGTGTGGAAACGGCTGAAAAACGCACTCACCAGAAGTAAGACACATAAACGCAGTGTGCATCTAGAGCTCATGGATCCTCAATCCAGAGGGGGGTAAAGCTGGTCCGGTTACAGGAATGGTGGATCCCTCCTCTGTGGATGCAGCAACAGATCCTCCTTCTCCCGATTAGGTGTAGGATTCCAAGATCAAGATTCTGCAAGCAAAAGCTCCTCAGGGGAGTTTTAGGGAAGGACACCCATAGTGTAGTAGGTTATAAAAAGCAGCTTTATTAAAATAATAATATCCAATTCAGAGTAGGCAGGTATCATAAAGATGTGTCAGCAAGACAAACTAACCCTGACACTCTGAATAATGGCCGCCGGTTGGTACCTAAAAGTTCCTCCTGGCTAATCTGGGTGATATCTAAGATAGTGTTATCTAGGGACACCCCATTATAGCCCTTCTCCAAAAAACGTTCTTTCAAAATATTGGCTTGTATCTGAAAATCTGAGGTGTTTGTACAGTTTCTTCTCAGTCTTAGCAATTGTCCTTTAGGGACGTTAGCAAGCCAGCTGGGATGGTGGCAACTATCCAAAGGAATATAACTATTCCGATCGGACGACTTGAAAAACGTTTTGGTGATAATTTTATTGTCTACCCTCACGAAGGTGAGGTCTAAAAAACTAACTTCTTCATGACTGAAGTTATAGGTGAGTCTGATATTTTGATTATTGTAATTCAAGGTAGTGAAAAAGTTTTCTAGCGATTGTGTATTCCCATTCCACAACAAGAGAATCCGATCTTGGAGCAAAGGGAATTGATCCCGCTGACAATTGGCCTTCCTGGGGGTCTCAAAGGGTCCTTGTGAATCTTAGGTAAGATATAGAGGATTGGTATTTTTTTTCGCCCCCAGTCTTGCCAATTTATTTATGTCCTTCTGGGAGGAAAAGATTATATACTCCAGGGACTGGCCAGAATTGGTCTTCTATAGGAGATATATTGACGACATTCTCTTGTTGTGGAATGGGAATACACAATCGCTAGAAAACTTTTTCACTACCTTGAATTACAATAATCAAAATATCAGACTCACCTATAACTTCAGTCATGAAGAAGTTAGTTTTTTAGACCTCACCTTCGTGAGGGTAGACAATAAAATTATCACCAAAACGTTTTTTCAAGTCGTCCGATCGGAATAGTTATATTCCTTTGGATAGTTGCCACCATCCCAGCTGGCTTGCTAACGTCCCTAAAGGACAATTGCTAAGACTGAGAAGAAACTGTACAAACACCTCAGATTTTCAGATACAAGCCAATATTTTGAAAGAACGTTTTTTGGAGAAGGGCTATAATGGGGTATCCCTAGATAACACTATCTTAGATATCACCCAGATTAGCCAGGAGGAACTTTTAGGTACCAACTCTAAGAAAATAAATGACATTTTTTGTCCGTTTATCACTACCTTCTCTGTCCAACATAGAGCGGTTAAACATATCATCAAGAAAAATTGGAATATATTAAAATCAGATCCAGTTTTGAATAACATACTTCCTGATACACCTGAAGTAATTTTTCGGAGACCAGCCATTCTTAGAGATAAAATATCTCCTAACATTATTAACCCTCCTGTTAAATCACTTACATTGTTTAATATGAAAGGTTTTTACCCCTGTAATAGGTGCATCGCCTGTAAGTGCAATGGAAGTAGAAAGAAGAAAACCTATTCCTATAGTTCCAGTCAAACACACAAGACATATGAAATAGATAAATTTATTAGTTGTGACAGCAAATTTGTAGTCTATCTGCTTGAATGCCCGTGCTCCAAACAATATATTGGCCGGACCACCAGGAGGCTTAGAGACCGCCTTCGGGAATACATTGCTAACATCAGAAAAGGATATAAAGGCCATTCATTATCCCTACATTACAGACGTTTTCATCATAGGGATCCCACATCACTTAAGTTTGTGGGGATCGACTTAGTCACCCCACATTGGAGGGGTACACATAAAGTGAGAGCAGTTTCCCAGCTGGAGACTAAACACATTTTTGAATTGGGTACTTCCCATCCAGCGGGGCTTAACATAGACCTAGATCTTAACTGCTTTATTGCTAATGGGTGACGTAAATTTGAACAATTAATTTCTCCCCTTTTTCCATGTTATAGACGCATGGTTTGACCTTCTCACATGCGTTTTTATCTAAGCTATTTCTATTGATCTTTTAATGATTCTCACATGTGTCATTAGTTTCGAGGTTGGTGCAGATTTAGTTCTGCAGTCTTTTTATTTTATTTTAGTTTCATCCTCTGAGAACTTCTTTCTGGCACATAATTTTTACACATATGATGTCTTTTTGAATGTTGATAAATTTTAATTTGCAAAGATATAATGACGCATGTATATACATTTACTGAAATTATACTATCTAATTGGAAATAAGTTCAACACATTGGCGCTATCGCGCCTATTTTATATTTTTATATAGATCTGAATCAGATTGTCTTTAAAATAGGTGTAATTTACACCGTTGTTGAACTTGTCTTCATTGACATTCATCTGTCAATTATAGGGCATTCTTGCCCTTCCATCCTGTGTCTTTGAGCTCCATTAAAATGGAAGACGGAGCCACGCACATGCGCCTTAGTTATTGCACACTGGCGCATACGTAACCGCGCATGCGTCATTATGCCTATTTATATGCGCCTATTCGCGTCATCACGCCAAATGGTTCCATACCTCTGAAGATGTGCGTGCGCACGTAACGCGTAAGGAGGAGCCTGGACGTCGAGACGCTACGCCGCCGGAGCCACGTGAGGCCCGGCGGCCATTATTCAGAGTGTCAGGGTTAGTTTGTCTTGCTGACACATCTTTATGATACCTGCCTACTCTGAATTGGATATTATTATTTTAATAAAGCTGCTTTTTATAACCTACTACACTATGGGTGTCCTTCCCTAAAACTCCCCTGAGGAGCTTTTGCTTGCAGAATCTTGATCTTGGAATCCTACACCTAATCGGGAGAAGGAGGATCTATTGCTGCATCCACAGAGGAGGGATCCACCATTCCTGTAACCGGACCAGCTTTACCCCCCTCTGGATTGAGGATCCATGAGCTCTAGATGCACACTGCGTTTATGTGTCTTACTTCTGGTGAGTGCGTTTTTCAGCCGTTTCCACACGGATCACCAATTCTGAATCCTCATTTGTCACTGGACACGTCCATATGACCAAGACTTTCAGTGGACTTATATCTGTCTTATTATCACTACTTTTAGCGCTGCACTATTTTTATGTTATTTCATTTAAGTATATATTGGTTGCTTAGAGTGCTTAGCCGCTTTCAGGATTAGCGCTCACTGTTGTTGTTTTTTTTCTATTAGATCCACTAAAGGGGTCCACCCCATGTGAAAGGGCCCTTAAAAGTAACTTAGATAATCATGAATTTAAAAGGTATAATTAAATCATAAAGGCTAAACTATATGTTCGAACTCTCTAGGTACTAAAGACCCACCACTAGCTGATAGTCTCAAAATTTTGTAGCTCAGTTGTGCTATTAAAATTGCTAGAAGTAGATACTGATTGCTAAATAGATGGGGAAATGTCTCTTTGTAGAGTAAGCTACACAAGTAACATGCAGCAGTGATCAATTTGACATAATTGTACCATGCTCCAATTACACTGTGCATGGTTGATTACTACAAGATACTGATGCATCCATCTGATTAGTAATCATTTTTTACTCACAGTGGTTAAACGAAAGCAATATCAGTAGCATGATTGGGCTACCGAATAATCTCCGATGTAGCTCCAGCCTGATGAGATGACTACCACCAAGTGGTCGCTCAGTAGCAGGAGACTAAAATCTCCAGTGTAGCTCTATCCTAACATTTCAATTACTATAATAAATGCTATATAATGATGAAGAATAGCTACTTAAAGTGTTACTAAACCCCAGGGGCAGACTGACAACTCATGGGGCCCACGGGCAATAGGGGATCATGGGGCCCCTGTGTCCTTGCCAAAACTCAAAAAAGCCTATGAAAAAGGTACCAGGGGCATCTCATGATGCCCCCTACTGACCCCGGGCCTTCGGGAAGTGCCTGAGTTTCCAAATGGTCAGTCCACCCCTGCTAAACCCTCAACAGTAAAATCAATCTATATATGCAGTACAACATGCTTGTTATACTCATTAAGGATCCTAAGGGGTTAATGCTCTGCATTGTGTAAAAAAGGATGTTTGATCCTGACTTCTCTGATCCTCCCCTTCTTCCAGTGTCCCCAATTCATCCGCTAATAGCACAGAGCTTTGGGGGCAAGCTGCACATGCTTAGCTTGGTGTGTATTGCTAGAGATTTTTTTTTTCCTGGGAGAGTGCATGTCATCAGCACAGGGCCAGTCAGCACAGTACAGATAGAGGGTCAGGGGTTATGCAGCCTCATAGGACAATCAGGGGAGAATAAAAACTCCTCCTACAAGCTTTAACCAGTGCTCTGCTGGACACTGATAGAAGTCACAAGACTGCTCTCACTGCTAATGAGAAAAGGTATTTTAGTTGTTTATATTTACTAAAATAATTGCACTTCCATGTTCTGTGTACTGTGGGAGACCAGATATAGTGAATGCAGGGTCCAGGAAGACAAGACATAGTGAATGCATGGTCCGGGGAAAGCGGATATAGTGAATGCAGGGTCCGGAGAGACCAGATATAGAGAATGCAGGGTCCGTGGCGGCCAGATATAGTGAATGCAGGATCTGGGGAGACCAGATATAGTGAATGCAGGGTCTGCGGAGACCAGATATAGAGAATTCAGGGTTCGGGGAGACCAGCTATAGTGAATACAGGGTCTGGGGAGACCAGATATAGTGAATGCAGGGTCCTGGGTTTCGTAACACTTTAAAGCAGACCTTCAGGCAGTTTATAAATTTGCTTCTATAGGACGTTTGTCTCCTCTTTTAATATAATTGGAATAAAAAAGTGTGCTGTGCTGCCTCTAAATACTTTTCCTAATAGTTCTGGTCTTTATCTAGGTCATTCTCCAGTGTGGACGACATAGGCAGCTCTAGTCCCCCTGGCTCCTGGAATATTATTATCACTAGTCCAGGAGTCAAGGGTGAGAGTTTCAGCAAGAGGAGGAGGGCGGAAGAGAGAATGGAAGGGGGCTGGAGGAGGGCCAGAAGAGCACGGAGATGGGCGGGGACAGGCAGGGACACACTGTGCCCTTACTTTTCCTACATGTGGCCATCTTCACTGTGGGCAAGTGAAGCCATGGCTGCTCGAATCCACCCTGCAGTCAATGTATAATATCATGCATGTGCGCTAGGTCCACATCTCGGCCACATTAAGCATAGGGCTTCTAGCCTTTGGTTTACATGTTGCTGTAGCAGCAGCAGTGGAAGTTCACTGCCACTGCTATAGGATTGATTCGAGTGGCCATGGCTTCATTTTCCCACAGTGAATATGGCCACCATGCAAGAAAAGGGTTAGCAATAAAAAAAGCCACTTTTTAAACTGGAAATAATCAGGAATATCAGCAATAAACTTGTTAAATGGCATAAACACTCTTTTAAAAGCTTAAAAGTGTATTTTTTTTTAAATGTTTAAGAGTTCCTCTTTAACCACTAGCCTACAGGGCACTTATACTCCCTTCCTGCCCAGGCCAATTTCCAGCTTTCAGTGCTGTCACACTTTAAATGACAATTGCACGGTCATGCAACGCTGTACCCATATGACATTTTTATCATTTTTTTGAGACAGATAGAGCTTTCTTTTGGTGGTATTTAATCACCTCTGGGATTTTTATGTTTTCTTAAACAAACCAAAAACCACTGAAAATTGTGAAAAAAAAAACCCGTTTTTTCTTAGTTTTTGTTATACAATTTTGTAAATAGGTGATTTTTCTCCTTCACTGATGTGCGCTAATGAGGCTGCAGTGATGGCCACTGATAGGTTGCACTGATGGACACTGATGAGGAGGCACTGGTAGGTTGCACTGATGGACATTGACAGGCATCACTGATGGGCACTGAAAAGCAGCACTGATACACGACACTGATATATGGCACTGATAGGCGGCACTGACTGGCACTGTTAGACGGCACTGACTGGCACTGTTAGGCAGCACTGACTGGCACTGATAGGCAGCACTGACTGGCACTGATAGGTGGTGGCACTGATTGGCAGCACTGATAGGTGGGACTGATTGGCATTGATAGGTGGCACTGACTGGCACTGATGGGTGACATTGAAAGGCAGCTCAGATGGGCACTGATATGTGGCATTGATGTGCACTGGTATGCACTGATATGTGGCATTGATGTGGCACTGATGGGCACTGGCACGTGGCACTGATGAGCACTGACTGCTGGCACTGATGGACACTGACAGGTGGCACTTCTGGGGCCACACTGATCATCAGGGCACACTGATCATCAGTGCCCTGATGATCAGTGTACATGTCCCCTCCGTGGAAAGCCGATTACTGGCTCTCCTCTCTAGCTGTCAGCGTGACAGCTCGAGAGGAGAGAAATGCCGATGACCGGCATTTCTGTGTTTACATGTGATCAGCTGTGATTGGACACAGCTGATCACATAACCGAGCCGACATCTTCTGCTCTTTCCGTGATCCATGATCCGCTGTGTCCGAGGGACACAGCGCACCAGCGATCGCCGCGCTGCGTGCTCCCTGAGCCACGCATGCGCGGTGAGAATGGAAGGACGTCATATGACGTCCTATCAGAACAAGAGAACCACCTTGCGCCCGTCATTGTACTATATGGCGGGCGGAAGGTGGTTAAAGTTGTTGTAAACCTCTGACATGAAAAATGAATAAAGCATATCCTTTTATAGTGTATGTACTTGCCTCAATCAAAAGCACTGAGTGTGATTTCTGTCTGCAGTCTCCTTCCTCTGCGATCTGCATTTCTGACAGGCTATGCAGACTCCAAGAGAAGGAGGGGGATGGGGAACAGAGGAGGGGAGAAGTGCGCAGTTTGTGACTGATGGTCTAATTTGTGCATGTTTTCCTATGAGATTGTGTAAAGAGGGGTGTATCCCTTCCCTCCACTCAGGTTTCAGATTACACTCAGCTCTCCAATCTGAGCTGTGCAGCGTGTGACATATGAACCCTACCTCCTGTCTCTGGAAGCTCAGTAAAGCTGTGTAAATTCTGAACTTTAAACAAATGTAGAGAAGAGATGGCTGCAGATGAACAGGTACAATTTACGCTGGGGTATTTGCTTTATGTCCGTGTATCACCTGAGGTTAGTCACATTAGTTTGTATATGTAAACCACTTTAACTTCCTACCTTAATATTATGAATGGGGTTAGTGCAGGTAAACTAATTTTCATAAAGCACAATACTAAGGGCAATGTGAATAATGGTCATAATGCTTTGCACAGCCTGTAAAAGTATACAGTTAAAGTGGTTGTAAAGGGGTTTTTTTTATAAATAACAAATGTGTGTTATTAACCTGCTCTGTGCAATGGCTTTGCACAGAGCAACATTAACCCTTCAATTCTGGGGTCCTCCGTCATCGTTCCTGACCCCTCCTCCTCTTCCAAGTGCCCTCATAGTAAGGTTCTTGCTATGGGGGCACTCGTGTGGGCTAGATCCCGAGCTGGTCTCTGTGTGTTCATTGACACACACAGCATGGCTCGGCCCCACCCCCCGTTCCCTCCTCACAGCTGTTATTGACAGCAGCAGAAGCCATTGGCTGCTGCTTCTGCCTCCATGGCCAGTGATGAGAGAGAGGAGAGAGCTGATGCTCTTAGGGACAGTGCTAGATCAAGATCAGGCTCAGGTAAGTTTAAGGGGGGCTGCAGGGAAGCTGTACACAGAAGGTTTTTACCTTAACCACTTGCCTACCGGGCACTTATACCCCCTTCCTGCCCAGGCCAATTTTCAGCTTTCAGCGCTGTTGCACTTTGAATGGACAATTGCATGAACCCATGATTTTTAAAGAGTCTGTATAACAATAAAATCTTGTTACATACTGTGTTGCCTGCCCCATATCATCTAGTACAGACATTAAAGTATTACTAAACCCACAACAGTAAAATCAGTCTGTATATGCAGTAAAGCATGCCTGTTATACTCACTATGGAACCTAGGAGGTTAATCCTCTGCATTGTGTAAAAACGCTGTTTGATCCTGACTTCTGTGATCCTCCCCTTCTTCCAGTGCACCCCTCTTATCTCCTGATAAGGCATATCGTGTGGTGTCACTCTGCACATGTTCAGTTTGGTGTGTATTGCTACGGAGGTTTTTTTGTTCGTTTTTGCATGTGATCAGCACAGGGCCAATCAGCACTCTCCAGAGAGAGGTCAGGGGTCCTGCATCCTCCTACAGCAGAATGAAAACTCCTCCTACAAGCTTTAACATTTGCTTGGCTGGACACTGATAGAAGCCACAAGACTCCTCTAACTACTGATGAGAAAAAGTATTTAGCAGTTTATATTTACTAAAATAATTGCATTTCCATGCTCTGTGTACTGTGGGAGACCAGATATAGTGAATGCAGGGTCCTGGGCTTAGTAATGCTTTAATTTGTTAAGATGTATTTGACCCATATCATGGTAACACTGCCAAGCCTGCAGTAACATGACTAAGGCACAACAGGTGTCATCATGCCAATTGATAAAGACCTCTATGCTGCCCTGAGCCACTTAACCCCAACCTAACCATAATAAATAAACACCATGACACATTGTTTTGGGAGTAAAATTGGCCATAGTAGTTATTTATTAATAAATAACCAAATATAACAAACATTCCTTAAAAACAAAAACCTGATTAATAATACAATAACAATCAAAATACGGTTGTTGATCTTTGGAGGCACTGAGTATCAAACATCCACTTTGTATCTGCAAAACTACTTACACTGTCCCCAGCCTCACTGCGGCTCGGGGACAAAGCCAACTCTCTGCAGATACTTCTCCATTCAACTTACCAGTTAACCCACCATTAACTGGCATTTCACAGGGGACTCCATACTTTAGCTGGTTCCCTAATATGATAATCCCATGAGATTTTTAAAATGCCTCCAAAGACCCCAACCACCCATGCCATTATCACCAACCAATAAACCCGATCCAGTAAGAGAGACAGGAGGGCAGGAACTTTCTTCTTGACGGCTCTTCTCTGGATGCCGAGAAAATACTGCCTGGAAGACCCCCTTGCAGCCCCTCCTCCCACCATGAAACCATAAGTGCCTACTCTTGATCTAAATAAACCCTGTCCTTCCCTGAATCCCCTGTTTCCCTGCCATGCTAGCCATTTGCTTTTTTTTTTTTTTTCTTTGGGTTATACTAACACAAAAGTAGAGTATGCTATTGCTGACATACAGTATATACTATGTTAGACACACTGGCCTTTTAGTGCTACTGATTTTGGATGTGTCTGATGCTCTGGTAACACAAACTTAGCTGATTAACATGCAGTGACAGGCACAAAAGATATTCTGAAAATGCAATGATTTAGATCCAGTGATGCCCTGCCAAATGTAGGGTCAGGACTGTAGGTCCAGGTAATACATACCTGCTACTTTTATGATTTAGTAATGCGGGACACAATTCAGCACCAACGTTTTCACAGTTAATATGCGCCTAGTGTCTATACCTTGACATACCATGTAACCTACTCAAAATAGAAACTAAATTACACTTTTTGAAAGAGAAAACTGCAAGCAAACTTAGGTATATGATGGGGGACTGCATGCTGATTAAGATTCTGGTATGGATGTACTGGAGGACCTAGTGTTTTTTTTTGTGTGTGTGATGTACCTCCTTAAAATCCACACCAGACTCAAAAGGTCTGATATGGATTTTGGGGAGGACACTATGCACAGTAGTTTTCCATTCTTGGTTAGTGATGTTCTACAGCAAAAGTGACATTTGCAAAAAAAAAAGAAAAAAAAAACAGCACACAAACACCTCCCCAAAGTCCCCCTAAAATACATAGAAGACCCATGTAGTGTTTGTAAAAAAATAGGAATGAAATGTCATTTGTTGGCACACTTTTTTTCCATTGTAAATGTCGGTGCTGCAGTGCTTTCTGTACACCTTCACAGGAAGGACTACAGGACCCAATAGACCTGTTACTGTACTTGAAGGAATTGGCATTTTTAATGCATTTTAAAAAATCACTGTTCCTGGCTGAATGGAATTTTAATTTGCATTGGTATATTGGCCCCCTAGCAAGGCACCCTTCACTTTGCACAGGAAGTTGCAATTTGCAAAGGAATTTGCCCCAGAGCATAGTGAATGGGGTGAAGCTCTGATGACTCCCATCATCCAATGTGCATGCAAAAATGCACTTTTTTTTTCTTGAGCATGATTGGGCATTCAGCAGCCAGCTGGGGGCTATTAATTGCTTCTGAAGTGCGTACTGTGCCTGTGTCCGTGGGTCCTTAGAACATCACTCTTATGACTGAGTATGGATCTACATTGCTGGATGAGGTTTTGACATTTAATTTCACAATGTGGGACTTTTTTATTTTAATAAAATCCTTTTTTAAGATATCTGTGTGTCTATTTACTTTGTAAATTTTTTTGGCGAATGAGTAACAACGGGGGTTTAGGATCCCCTTACTTATTCACCTTGGATATCTGCATGCTCACTTATTTTAGGCGCTTCACAATTTTAATAAATACCCGCTCACAGACCCTGACAAACACTGGACCAGGGATGTGTAGATAAGACTCTTGTCTCCATCAACATACAGTCAAGGTGCCTAGCCAGGGGGGCCTTGCAAAGCATCCTCCAAATTTTAAGGGCATGTGGCTTGGAATAGTTTGGGAGGGAAAGGTTCACATTCACTGTCCCTTCTTTTTCTTTGCCAATTGGGTTGCATGCCTGGACAAAGTTATGGTTTAGATTTAAGGAGGGCCCTACATTTTTTTTTTTTATTTGTGAATGGAGTCACTTCAAGATTCAAGCAAGACACTTATATGGGCCCCAACTAGCAAGGCTCCCTGTTCCCAAGTTGATGGGGACAAGTTATTTATTCTTCATACTGGAGGAAAGGCAGACTTAGAACTTGGAAGCCATATTTACAATAAGGGGGGCTCCCAGATATCTAACCCCCCCATGTGAATGATTAAGTGGTATATAGTACTTTCATTCTTCATTCACAAAAAAAATTTACATTATTATTATTATTATTATTATTATTAATTAAACAGGATTTATATAGCACCAACAGTTTGCGCAGCGCTTTACAATATAAGGGAGACAGTACAATTACAATACATTTTAGTACAGAAGGAAAGTGAGGGCCCTGCTTAGCAGCTTACAATCTAAAGGAAGGGGGAGGTGATACAAAAGGTGATAGCAATGTATTGGATGATTGGTGATAGTAATGTATTGTAATGGTGATAGCAAAGGTGATAGCAAAAGGTGACATAATGTATAAACACAAAGACACTGTAAAAATAATATTTTGATAAAAAACCAAATAAACAAAAGTAGCCTCCATGTCCTACAATGCCAATCACCTTGTCCAGCAATGAGGATCCATAGTCAGTCACGATGAGGAACGCTCTGACAATAAACTGACAAAAATACCATGACCAGAGTCACAAAGTATTGGCTCATTATAGCTTCCTGGCCAAATGCTCAATGTCAACAAACCAGGTGCAGATTGTGGCTAACATCATTGACTACATATGGCCATGACCATAGGTGGTCATTGGTGTCAAAAAGGATCCTCTGGTTGCTTTGTTTACAAACATAATCCAGGTGGGAAGGAATTTTCATTTAGTGGCAATAGTATTTTTTTTAACCACTTGCACTCCTGAGGATTTACCCACCTTAATGAACAGGCCTCTTTTTGGTACTCGGCGCTGCACTAATTCAACTGATAATTGCGCGGTCATGCAATGCTGCACCCAAACGAAATTTACGTCCTTTTTTTCACATAAAATAGAGCTTTCTTTTGGTGGTATTTGACCACCTGTGCGCTTTTTATTTTTCACGCTATAAACGAAAAATACTGAAAAATTTTGAAGAAAAACAATATTTTTTACTGTCAGCTATAAAAACAATATAGTAAACTCAAAGTTAGTTATAAATTTAGGCCAAAATTTATTCTGCTACATGTTTTTGGTAAAAAAAAATCCCAATAAGTATTTTATTGATTGCTTTGTGTAAAAGTTATAGCGTCTACAAACTATGGTATAGATACTGCATAGCATTTTTTTGCTATACAACTCTGCGCTAGCTTAATGGGCAGTTGGGCGGTCATGCAATACGGTACATGAATGAAATGTATGTCCTTTTTTCACACAAATAGAGTTTTCTTTTGGTGGTATTTGATCACCTGTGCACTTTTTATTTTATATTATATAAACAAAAACATTTTTTGAAAAAACATTTTTTTTTAAAAAAAAACAATATTTTCTCATTTCTGTCATAAAAAATATCCAAAAAAACTAAAATTTGTCATAAATTTAGGCCAAAATGTATTTTGCTACATGTTTTTGGTTAAAAAAATCCCAGTAAGTGTATATTTATTGCTTTATGTGAAAGTTATAGTGTCTACAAACTATGGTATAGATAATGGAATTTACACAGCTTTTACTTTTTGACTATTCATCACATTTCTTAAGGTACTAAAATACCATGATAGTATAAAATACCCTCAAATGACCCTTTTTTGGAAAGTAGACACCATAAGCTATCTGCTGAGAGGCATATTGAGTCCATGTAAGATTTTTTTTTTTTTCCACAAGTTTCTGGAAAATGCCAAAAACATTTTTTTTTACACAGAGTTGTCATTTAAATTATTTATTTCTCACACAAGCCATGAGTATATGTGGAATTACACCCCAAAATACATTCTGCTACTTCTACCGAGTATGGGGATACCACATGTGTGAGACTTTTTGGGAGCCTAGCTACATACAGGAGCGTGAAATCCAATGACCACTCTGAAAGCCTGAAGGTGTGTAACTTCCTCATTTCACTTCCTCAATACCTATCACAGTTTCGAAGGCCCTGACATGCCAGGATAGCACCAACCCCCCCCCCCCCCAAATGACCCCTTTCTGAAAAGTAGAGACCCCAAGGAATTTAAAAAGAGGCATGGTGAGTATTTTGCAGATCTCATTTTTTCTCACAAGGTTTTGAAATATAAAAAAAAATATAAAAAATATGTATAATGTTTTTTTTCTTCATTTTCCAAAAACTTGTGGCAATAAATGAGAGCTGCAAAATACTCACCATGCTTCTTATCAAATTCCTTGGGGTGTCTACTTTCCAAAAAGGGGTCATTTGGGGGGGGGGGGTTAGGTGCTATCCTGGCATTTCAGGGTCTCCGAAACTGTGATAGATAGCCAGGAAGTGTAAAGAGGAAATAAAGTGCTTATTGGATTTTGGGGTCCTGTACTTGGCTAGACTGCCAAAACGTCTCTCACATGTGGTACCCCCATTCTTGGGAGAAGTAGCAGAATGTATTTTGGGGAGTAATTCCACATATACCCATGGCATGTGTTAGCAATAAGTCATTTCAGTGACAATTTTGTGT